ATCTGACCCTGCTTTCCTGTCCACTTTAGATCTTCATCAATAACCACCGACTGAAGTTTTATTTCATAGCTCGCTAAAAATAAGTTTACTGGATTACATTTGAAGTCCTAATAGTTATCCAGAAATTAGGTGGAGAAAAAAACATATCTTTAGGTCTGAGCAATTCTGGTTTTAGATCTTCTTGAGACAGCAGTAAGGATTAAGAATCCACTCTTGATTTTGTGTAGTTCCGTTTTTAGAAACGGTGCGAGAGCTTTCCAAACAGCTTGTGTTGCATCTGTTTCTGTAAAGACTGCAAACGAGTTTAGTACACCAAAAGGCTGGGGTGGTGACAGGCTGCTCACCTCCTTCCCCCTCCCTTGTCAAGTCTCATTCCTACCTGTTTCTCTTGCAAAATCATGCATTTACCATCAAGATAAGTTTGAGAACTGGCTGCATGTTTTCTAGATTCAGCATATCTGTCATTTACTTGTTACAGTAGGATGAACTACTCCAAATTCTTCTTGAGTAACCAGAATATGTAATAATTAAACGTCAGATAATGTGCCCACTTTCAAAATAACTAGCTGATGTCATTTCAGACTGCCCAAACTTCCCTGCAAGTTGCCAGTAGCCCAGTTGTTCAGCCATGGGTCATCATCATTTAAGTACTACCTGTGATTCATAAAAGGCTTTTGAAGGGCTTCTTGAAAATAAGCACTTCAAGGGTGTAACAAAATTTACCTTTCTGCTAGGCTGCAGACTGTAATAATAATAAAATAAAAAAGGAAAACCCTGATAACTTGATGTTCTTCTGTTATTACTTTTTCCTCCCCATCTCTGAATCAGCGGGATTGATGTGAACTTTGCAGATTCCTATGTTTAGGTAGATGCGTGATATTTAAGAGCTCCCCTAACTGTCTTTGCCATACATTAAATAGCATCAGTATTAAAAGAAGAAAAAAAGAAAACTCTGGAAATTTTTAAAGACAGAAAAGTGGATGGACAGACAGAGCATGCTATCCTTCCTGTAGATTTTGAGGAAAATTGGGCTTTACTGCACATTTTGAAAAATTGTGAGGTGAAAGAGAGAATTCTGAAAATCAGGTTTCCACTAAAGAACATGCTGAAGAATTTTCTCTCAGAATAGAGAAAGGCCTAAATGGGTAAATCTAGATTGTTTGATGGCTCTGTGGATCAAAACTCTTTAAATTCTACTTGGAAATGGCAGGAAGGACAACTACTGGAGCACAAATATATTTCTTTGTTATGAAATGTTTCTCTCAATGAAATAATTATGTTTCTGCAGTAGATATAGTTCCTGAGTTTATTTCGTAAATAACTGCAATGTGTGTTATTCTAATCTTAAAGTTGAGCTGACATTTTTAAAGCTGTATTTTCTTGGTTTGTAGCTGAAAGATACCCTCTTAATAATAATTATTACTAATAATATTTTTTTTAAAAAAAGCTGTTCTGGTAAAAGTGACCTGAAGAAGAGCTGAGAAGCTAGAACATACATTTTTGCAAATTGGATTAGTGAATGGACTTGTATATCTGCATAAATAAAAATGGAAACAGGAATCAAGAACCTTATGTTACACCATCCTGATACCATCCCTTTTTAAACCATGGCTAAGAATCATAGAATCATAGAATGGCCTAGGCTGGAAGGGACCCTAGAGATCATCTAATCCAACCTCCCTGTCTTGGGCAGGGACGCCTCTCAACTAGATCAGGCTGCTCAAGGCTCCGTCCAGCTTGGCCTTGAACACCTCCAGGGAGGGGACAGCCACAACATCTCTGGGCAATTTATTCCAAAGTCTTGCCCCCCTCGTACTGAAGAATTTCTTCCTCAGATCCAATCTAAACCTATTCTCCTTCAACTTAAATCCATTTCCACTTGTCCTATTAGTGGACACTCTTGTAAAAAGTCCCTCCCCAGCCTTCCTGTAGGTTCCCTTCAGGTGTTGGAAGGCAGCTATTAAGTCCCCCTGAAGTCTTCTCTTTTCAAGACTGAACAATCCCAGCTCAGGAAGACCTTGTTTTGGAACAATATCCAAAAAAGCACGCTATTGGAGATGTAAATATTTCAATGTATTAAGGTGTAGTTATATCTGTAGATCTGTTTAGCATCAAAACTTGATGGACCTAGGCATCACAAGAGAAATAATTTTCAATCTTGTGATCAAATACTTTGTTGAACTGCAAATACCATTGAGAGCTTTGGGGCCTATGTATAATGAAATGTTACAGCTGAAGCATTTGGATGCTAGCTGGTATTTCAGAGCGTTCTGTACCTGAACCTGAACTATGGCAGTGCTAGAAATCAGTGTAATGCATAGCTTTATAAAAAAAAATTATTTAAAAAAATGGTTGCTTAAATGATGTTTAATTAACTGTTTTTGCAGTATCTTTATTTCTCTACACTATACATTATGCTATGCATATGTACTCTTAAATAATCAGCTGATTATCTGTGTTCCTACAAAGAAAAAATAGAATGATCCTTCTCTAATCAGTAAATCCATCATTAACACGCCCTGAATGTATGAACTGAAGTCCACACTGCGGGTGGAACTGGTAGGATTCTTAATTTGTGTACACACATCCTGCTGCTCTAAGAACCAGAGTAAGTCTGTGTAATTTCTGGAGCCTTTAGGCTCAAGAATTTTAAGATTTTCATAACTGCTTTTACTCATTAAAAAAAAAAAAAGTAAGAACATTTTTCATTTAATTAGATGATATTATTTCCCTGATACCAGGTTTGCTATATTCTGGAACTTCTTGAAAAGCTTCATCACCATAACTTAATGCAGATTTGTTCTTGAACTGTTGAACAAATTTTTAGTGCCTTGTCCTGGTTTGAGCTAAATAGAACCAATTGTGTTCAGTGATTTTTTTACTTTCCAGCTCAGTCTCTTCCAAGAGGCTGCATGTTCTGAAGTCAGCAGCATGTTTCTGCAGACAGTGTGTGCTACCAGCAGTGATAACACCTGATGTTCACAGTTACTGCCTGGGACTGGGATGCAGAAAGGCTCCTGCTGATACTTATTCCTATAGTGACCAAGGCCACTGCTGGCTCTGTGTGCCACGCTGGGTGTGCCGGGTAGTAAGAGGGGTCACAAGGAAGTAAAAGGTTGCACCTCCAGGGAGTAATAGACAGGACAGGTGACCAACAGGAGTATTCTATTCCATATATGTCATATTTAGTATAAAACTGGGGGATCACGAGCATTTTAGCTCTATTTTGCCTCTTTCTTCAATGGATGGTGTCCAGGGAGTGCTCCATCCAATCTTCTGCGTTTGATCCCAATCCTGAGTTCCTGAATCCAGCTCCTGTGTCCAGCTCCCCTCTGCTGCTGGGCCCGGGGCTTCCCCTGCTCTGCAGCATCAGTGGTGATTGCTACTGAGGGAAGTCGGGTTCGATATCATATATATATATATTTGTATATAGTTCTTTATTTTTTATTATTTCATTATTGTTTCATTAAAGCTGTTTTAGTTTTCTAACCCCAAAGTATCTCTGCCTCATTCCCTTTTCCTTCCTGTTTAGGGGGGAACAGAGGGGGTTAGATAGCTCTGCCAGCGTTTAGTGGGCGGCCCATCCCTAACCCGACAGGCCTTTAGTCAAAATCTCAACTGACATTAGCTGATTCCATAAAGACTGCAGGAGTGGGATCTTCAGTAGCAATGGGAAAAAAGTTTAACTAGCAATGACATCTTGATGTTGGTCATCTCTTGCTCTTATTTTGGTTTTGTGCATGACCTTAGGTTATTTCTGGATCAGACTCCAAAGGCTGTGATGCTGAGTACTGTAAAATCTTAAAGCTTGCTCTCCTTATTACAACTGAGGATGCAGTAGTTTTTACACATGTATCCTGAAAAAACACCTCAAAAGAGCTGAGCATCTTAAAATTAAGAGATACAGAACTTGTATGCTGCACTGCTTAAAAACAGAATGCTATTTTTAGCTTGTGGCATTTGACTACCATTGGAAAATGCTGTAAAGTTCATAAACATTATCAAATCTCCACCTGTCTTAATGCTTTTATGGTGGTTCTTAAGATTTATAGTCTTGAATAATTCCCCAGAGGAAGACACCAGAACATATACTAGGGGCTTCAGCCTCTTTGAAATAAGGAGAGAAGACGAGGTGCCAGTAATAACTACTGGACAAAATTCACCAGTGGTCCTTGGAGAAGAAATTGGAACCCAGACCTTTGCTTCTAAGCTAACTGCCTTAACCACTGTGTGAGGCTACATTTTTCATGTCTCCTTGATGCAAAAAAATGACGGATTATTTTGTGCAAAGGAAGACAGCTTCAACAAAAAAATATGAGAGATGTCCCTCTAATCTGGAGTTGTGCAGGAACCTGGAGAAACTGGACAATATATGTAACACAGGAACTTCCCTCAGGCAAAAAAGTGGAACAGAACTTGCATCTCTTCAGCTGTTGTATAAAGGTGTTGGGGAGCAGAAAGAAACTGTTACATGTTTTAAAAGAAAGGAGGTATCAGCTACATGTTGTTGATCTTTTATATGTTCCATCACCAGACTGAATGAATAAAAAATAAATAAATCAATGCTTCAAAAATCTCCCCCCCATTTAGTTTCTGGATTTGAAGCATGTGTCAAGCCCTGTCAATACTGAAACTTTTACTGGCGTGGCGAGATGTAAGATGTTAAATTGAAGAGCCTGGTTCTTCTGTTGGTTGTCAGATGAAGACATTTATTTGGGATGAGGATTTTGGAGCTAGGTGCTTGGATTCCCTTCAAATCCTTTCTGAGGGCTAGCCCACAAAATGTTTTCAATAACAGTTCAAAGTTGTTAATAAGAGCTGTAATGAGGGTTTTCCTTAAATGCAAATATTTGAAACTGAACAGATGCATTAGCAAATGTTAAATGAAAAAGAATTACCGACAGAACAGCTTTATATATAGAGTCCCTAATTTTTTTTCTCTTTGAAAGGAAACAATTGGACCATTGTAATCATCTGCATTTTAGACTCTTAATTGTGTAAACACATGCTTACATGTTTAATTTCACATTTTATATTAATATTACATTTATCTCAAGGTTATTGGAACTATTCAGGTAGAGCTACTGTGCATTTTGTAGTGTCAGGATCCTCATGAAGTCATAATGCTGCTGAAGTAAACTATGGTGTATTTTTCCCATTTTTCCATGAACTGTTACAAATGGAACAAACTGATACATTTCATTCAACATTTGTGAATTCTCTCATGCCTATCCATGTTGTCCTAATACTTTTCTTTTAAAACTTCCTCTCAGGATGACAACGGCCTGTGCTACCCTTCAAGCAAAAGCCACGAGCAGACGTTTGCTTACTTGATTGTGGATCCCTGCAAGCGACATGTGCACACTCTGTATCACTGCTTTGGTGGGAGCTTATTTACTAACTAGTTACAAACCTGGCTGTTCCTCAGTTTTATAATGGAAGTAGCCTTTTCTCTGCATGAATTCTGGTAGAAATGGCCTAGTTTTCTTACGAGGAAGGCTGTGCTCCTTCATTCCACACTCTGAATGGCAACGCGCTCATGTAGATGTTACTATGCAGTTTGTGACAAAAGTTTTTACTGTATTTATAAGTCATGCTTCTTGAAGATGTTTTCTCGGCAGTTTAGTCCCCCCTCCCTCACCTGTTTTATCTATTAAAAGGTATTTCTGTAGCAGTCTCTTCAGGAAACAGCTTTTCAGATCCACCTCGCATGAATTCAGGGGGAGGCTCCAGGGACAGTGAAACCTCTGCAGAACCGGGAGAAAGTGCGTCAGGCGGCCCGGCCCGCACCAACCTCCCCCATCCCTCCCTCCC